GGGGGTTTGGGAGGGTTTAATTGATCATTATTTTTCCCAATGCCTTTCTTTCAGTGGGCGTCAATTATAATCAAATTTTGGCCATTCATTGCCGGACCGGTCCCAATCTCCGTGAACAGCAGGGGTTGACTTTACGATAAATAAGCACTTTGTTTCAATAGATTGGATACATTGGTCCATCTTCTGATCGGATATCGTTTTTTTTTTTAATTTTTAACTCGCCTGAAGGCAATTTAAACTCTAACCATAACCGGTCACACCAACCCTTACTCTTAACTCCAACCCAAACCCATAATCCTGCGAGACGAGTACACAACAGTGGTTAACCGCTTTACTTTTACACGATTAAAACTATGTTACTTCAAACAGTTCCTTCAGGATTTATGATACGAAGGATCCCCCCCGCCGTTTGAAATGGTTTCCTACGGGAAAAGTTGTTCAAGTCACATTAATACGAGAACTTCTCATAAATAATACTCTGATAATCATGTTGAAATGAGTAAATCGTCAGTAAATGATCCCAAGTATATCTGGTTTGGGTGAGTTATTATCTGTCAAGGATAAACGAACAGAAGGCTTTTATATCCGCCCCCGAAGCAGAGTGCCAGCTGGCTCTCCCCCTCAACAAAAACACTTTAATGAGAACCAGACGTTTGGTATTCGATGACTTTTTTCAAATGTCACACATTGGAAACACGCTGAAGTAAACCACAGGAAGCGATGTTTTTTTTCTTCTTACTTACTGTATCGCGTTTTACAACGCGTTGCCACAGACGTGAGCGACCACCACAACTACAACTACTTTAATACTATCTTGTTTTTAACACTGCCGAACTTTTTATATTTACCTTGAATGGTGTCGGAGGCTCCCCCTCCCTAAAAACCGTCCACGCAGCTTTTAAGCGCCCAAAATTGACATTTTCACGTCACGCGACCTCTTTTTTTAAGGGGCAGTTATTCCAAACAATACATAAGGGTCGTGATTTAAGTCTTCTCCATATGCGGCCGGGTCGTGAGCGCGCCGTCTCTTGACGTTCACGCGCACAAGGCAGTTTGAACAAAGCGACATTGACGGTAACTATGACAACGTAACGTCTCGTCGTCACCTGGTCCGCCCCTTCTCTCCGTTTGGCCAATCGCCTCCACGCTCAATATTCAAAACGAATAGTGTGATCCTATTGGCTTCTGATATCGGTGGGCGGAGGCAGTCCAACACTGACATAAACAAAAGGTTTAAAATACTTTTTAAATGAAAATATATCATAAATTATCTTTAAGGTACATATACATACATACATGTTTAGCTATAATAAATTGTAAAAACATATTTGGCTAAATATTCTAAAATACATATTGAACAGCAAAAAAATACATACGTTTTTCTTTAAAAATATTTTAACTTAAGAAGAAAATTAGCTAAGACCCTTGTTTTGCGCAGTGTTCTCAAAATTATTTTTAATTCAAATATCAATTTAATTCTAATGTATTATTTAATTTGGTTGACACCAAGAATGAATGGTATTGCATTCCCAAATGGTTCGTTCATTTACAGACATACAATATAATAATTTTACTTTAAAAATATGAAATTGTTATCGGCTGTTTTTTATTTCCGTAGGGCACTTTGTTTCATCTGTGTGTGCGCGCGTGTGTGTATGTGTGTGTGTGTGTTTTGAGGTGCTCTATAAATGATGTTGAATTCAGAAATTTCCAGCACACCCCCCCAGCCGTGCTATAAACAATACAACTCGGGTCAAAGTACTCCAACGACCCTTTCTCTGTCCCGCCCCTACAGTTTGAGGAGCTACGGAAGCTCATCAAGCCACAGAAATGACTGAAAACACAACTATATCATGTCAAACTATTTGGTTTAATTCATCAGCGTTTCAAACAAGCACATGCATTTTTACATGCGTGTATGTTGCTTGTGGAGGAACTAAAAGCTGAAAGTCGAAACAAACAAAAAAAAAATTATATGGATGCTACATTGGAATTTCCTATTTGGTTCTTCCCGCCTGTAGAGGACGGCAGAATTATCTTCTCCAGAAGGTTCATCATGCGCTCCTGCAGCTGCATAGATTGGACCTGAAGCAGGTTCTGCTGGTGCAGGGCCCGTCGGACTTCCCTGCACGTGTCCTCGATGGCTTGGTTGGAGCGCTTTTGTTGCCGCAGCATGGCCTGCATCAGCTGCAGCTTCTTCCGCTTCAGGGAATGCTGTCTCTTTGTGTTCTTTTGCTTGCTTGAAACTGGATGGGAGCTGTGGAGAAGATCAAGGGGCAATAAGGGACAGCACGTTGATGTCATGAAATGGCTGTAAGATCAGAAACAAGGCTCAAATTGTCTTGAATGCAAATCGGATTCAAAGACTCTCTTCATCTGAAACAACAAAAATTCCCTTGAGATTTCTAATTTTCCTTGAAAAGCCTTGATTGGTATCTCCACTTTAGTGATTTTTGTTAGTTTTTTACCTACTTTCAGTTTTCAAAATGTTGTGATTATGCAGGGATTGTTTCCTCATGAAATGTTGCACATACAAGAAGATCATAAGACTGGAAAACGGCAAAATGGATTGGTGGAGGCTGTTTTCAAACACGTATGGTGATTTTTTTTTTTTTTAGAGGCGGGGGGACGCTTGGGTTGTCTTTTGTTTAGTAATTCAGCAAAATATAACATCTGGCCTGCTAGGAGGTGACAGCACACTATCCATGTGTCACGGTCAGTCTATGCCATCAATTGAAGCAACAGAAAAGTCAATTGATGAATCACACCCTCATGGATCATGTAGCTATGTCAACATTTCCACCATGTCTTTTTTTAAAAATCATGTACCTGTTGACATCAATTCTGTCTTTATGTTATAAATTATATGTCTTTATATTAGGGATGTTCGATACCACGTTTTTTTCCATACCGACACCAGAAAGGTGTCACTGTGTACTCGCCGATAACCAAATACTGATACCGCTAGTAGCTTTGTAAAATTTTATTTAACACAATGACAAAAATAATGTAATCAAAAACCTTTGTTTCTGCTGCAGTTTGTTTGTTTGTTTTTTATTATTGGTGTAAGGTTATTGGCAGCCTCCAATAATATCTGATGTTATCTAGTATTGGTATTAGAGAGAGAGGGGGAGGCACGGTTGGCAACTGGTTAGCATGCCAGTGCAGGGTTCGATTCCAGCTTCGGCCTCCCTTTGTGGAGTTTGCATGTTCTCCCCGTACCTGCGTGGGTTTTCTCCGGCTAATCCGCTTTCCTCCCACGTTCCAGAAACATGCATGGCAGGCTGATTGAACACTCTAAATTGTCCACAGGTGTGATTGTGAGCGCAAATGGTTGTTTGGCTATGTGTGCCCTGCGATTGGCTGGCAACTAGTTCAGGCTGTCCCCCACCTACTGCCCGAAGACAGCTGGCATAGGCTCCAGCATGCCCGCGACCCTTGTGAGGATAAGCGGATTAGAAGATGGATGTATAGACCGAGAGAGGTTTCTGTGGCAAATTTCCCTCCCATGTGGTAAAATTGAGAAATAGTCAATTGTATTGCTTTGTGATTTCATTTCAAGCTGGGCAATATGTTGCCGTCCGGAGTTTGTTTCAGATGACCTGGAAGGCTTTGCTTGACTATGCTCGAGTATTCTCCAGCCGGAAGTACGTGTGACATCACAGTAACTTGGTGGTTACCTGGAGCCACGCGTGTGCTCACTGTCAGAGCTCCAAGAGTCCAGCTCCTGCTTGACCTCCATTTCATCCGAGGAGCCGGTGTACTCGGGTAGGAAGCCCATCAGCTCCTCCTCTGGCTCGGCCAAGGGGGTGGTGGTGGCCTGGGAGGCAGTCCCGGCGCTTGCTGAGGCCTGGGATTCAGCCTGGGACTCGGTCCAGTTGCCTCGTCCCACCTCCAAAGACTTGGATAGGATCTTCTCGATGGCCTTGTAATACGGCCAGTCGGGCGTCTCGCCGCTTTCCATGGCGTTGGATTTAAGTCGCCTGTTTCAAAAGGAAAAGAAAGAACAATGAGATGACACTTTTTGGGGAGGGTTGGAGAAGTTTGAGGATAGACTGGCCTGTATTGGAAGGACATGTTTGTGATCTTCATCTTGATCTCCTCTTTGAAGCGCTGCTCGCCCGTCAGCTGGAAAAAGCGCTGCGACATCCTCTCGTAAACCTTGGCGTTCCTCTTGCTGGTTTTCAGCTCGTTGTGGTTCTCCTCCCAAACATAGAGCAGGGCCTTCATTTCGCCGTCGGTCCAGTTGGGGGCCCGCCGGTGCTTCTCACCCTGGGGAGGAGGAATAAGATAGCCAAAATCATCTCCCGCTGCCATTTTTCTCCCCCAAAAGGGCCTTGGCTTTGAAAGGCTTTTACAGTTTAGTATGGTGCAGTGAGCTTGCGAGGCGAGCGGGAAAGCACACGCTAAGGCCTGCCTTTGCACCACCCCCCTCCCGGACAGACTGAAAGAGCACTCAAAATGGGGCCTAAAGCGGGAGAGGAATCCGGTTAAAAGCTTTTAGTGCTTGATGATGTCACAGTTGCCCCGGCGACGGGCTAGGGAGGCCCTTCTTTTTCACCCTAACCACTCCCACCTTCCCCACCCCCGCCGCTTAGCCTTCCTTCCTGCTGCCACTGCAATGGGCTGGGACATAAAAAGCTTTTAGCTGAAAGGCAGCAATGTGAACGGGCGCCATTGCTGAAATGCGGGTGGGGGGGAGGGGAGGAATGTGCGCCGACTGTCTTTTGGTTCCTTGAAGACTAGGCAGCCCAGACTGTGCTGCCTTTAAAAGCTTTTGTCGAATCACTTCATTCCCTGCAGCATTTGCTTCTCATTCTGGCGTCCACAAAATAAATTATCACCTCGTGTCATTTTCACAAAGCACATACATGCATTTGAGGACCGGCAATTACTTATCCCTCCTCATTTTTAGACGAATTAAAAGCCCCTGTATGATTGTGACCTATTACTTAAATATGACATTTTTGCACAGATGGAGTTTTTTTGGGGGGGGGGGGGCAAAAGGCATATTATTACAGGAATAAATCCCAATTTTTTTCAACACCCAAAGGTTTTGCGGGGTTTTTTTTTTAGATTAAAGGCATTTTTTTCCACAAATAAAAATATATATATTATGAGTACATCTGTATTGTCGAAACTCACTTTTTAAAAGATAACTTTCGACCCTCATTAACATAAAAGTCACCATTAATGTCATAATATTTTGATTTTAACTTTAAAAATACAACTTTAATCTTTTATGATGACTTGGAGTTGATTCTCAAAGTTTTTTTTTCCTTGAAAAATACAATTGTTCTCATAACATGACATTGTAAGACACATTTTGAGCAAAATGTACATTTGTCACGGCAACTTTCATGGCCATACGTGCACCAATTCACAAGACAACTGTGAAGTACATTTACTGTTGAGACTGGCAACACATAAAGATTAGGCTGACGATATGATAATTGCAACACCAATTTACCCAAAAGACAACCAAAAAAGGGTGAGCCAACTGGCTAACTTCTCTCTTTTCTTTTTCGGGGTTTAAAGTGGAAGTAATCCAGACTGTTAATCCAAGGGACAGACTAATCTACAGATAAACCACTTCGGTGCAGCCCAGGTCATTCAAGTAATTCACTGTTAAATTTTATTTAAAAAGATGTGTGTTTGTGTATATCTATCTATCTAGGAATTAATGATTTAAGTTTTTAAATGTTCTAAATACATATAACCCGAAGCAAATTTAGTTAATTGTATTTTTTATTATTGTGTTCTATTAACAATTTCATTTAATTTTTTTAGTTGTATTAATTTAAAGGTTATTTTATTTTAATGAAATAAAAAATCATATTTATAGAATAAAGATTGAAAAAAAAAATTTTAAGTGTTCATTGTAAATAAAATCTTTATATGTGAATTTAATATTGCAAAAGTAAAAATACATTTGTCACAAAAAATACATTTTCCAAATAAGAGGTTCTGGTTTAAAAATAACACAGAGAAAACAAACTTTAATGCCAATTTGTGCACATATATAACACATACATACATACAAGGTTGATACACCCATACTTAAAATATAAATGCTTTTAATAGTGACATATACCATTTTATAGCAAAAATGACAATAAAATAAAAACGATGCATCAGTAACTAAGAAATGTCTGCCTGTACCTAAAATAAATAAATATCAAATCAAAAGGTCACCAAAGTGAACAAAATGGAATGTAGTTGCCAAAAAATAACGGTAGAGGTCAGCAAACATCCATGCTTAAATGAAGTCGCCAGTGTGGCATTCACATTCTTGACATCAAGTCTCACAGTATCAACTAATTGAACACTGACTGAATTGTACCGGATGTACACATTAGTGTCAAAATGCAATATCGCAGGTCATGCAGCCGATTACGGTTGACATGTTTTTTTGTTTTGTTTTTTCTTTGTCACTGTTCCTTAAGACAGGGGTGGGGAAAGTCCTCAGAGCACCATCTTGAAATTATGGGGGGGCGGGCAATGTTACGTAGTAGTTGCGATTTTTTCGTTTGAAGTGGACTCAAAAATTCATTGTTGTTTCGTTGGTTACATGACATTTGGAATCAGAAAATGACAGTATAAATGTTTTTTTTATGGAAAGGATTAAGCGTTTGGGAGGATCAAATACAACATTGTTAAAATGTACAAAAAAAATGCAAACAGCAACTAAAACTAAATGTTACGCAAACCTTGGATTACCGCTTCCAAAGCTACATTTCTATTTTAGGGTTCGTTTACGTATGAAGGACGGATTAAATATGTCGTTTTGTTGGCTATTTTACATGACATCATCCTTTTGGAACCTGACAACTGCCTTATCAGTTTCCGAGTAAACGTGTAACACGTCGACCCATAGACGGGTGCACTTGACGATGGGCACAAGGAAGGAAAGTACCGCCTTCGGCAACGTTAACGCATGGCGGCCGGGTTAAAAACGTGTTTTCTGTTATTTCACATGACGGCAGCATTTTTTTAACCTAAAAAGACACACTGAAACAACCGCGTCGCTGTTTTCTATGTTAACGCTGAAAAAAAGTGTGAAAACGCTTAGACGGATGCTAAGTTTTAGCATACGCTAGTACGTCCCAGCCGAAACGACTGTGTTCACGCATGAACGACGGTTAAAAGGTTTGCCGCTCTGTCGGTAATTTTACATGAAATTGGTGTTTGGGAGCTTAACAGTGCAAATAAAAGTCGTTTTCCAGTCATTTCGACGCTATTAAACGGCGGCTATGTGCGAGTATGCCAAAGTAGGTGCGTTTTGGGGGGCTTTCTTAAATAAGGTCCTCTGAGGCTCGGCGGGCGGGGAAGACCAAAAGCTCGGCTGTCCCACCCCTGCTTGAAGGTAAAAATCCTGACCACCTCCGAAAATGCGTTTCCTTATGAACCGTTTTCACGTTTGGTTCATTCTCTGGGAAGACATTCGTCCTCGGTGATGCCCTGAGCCTTGAGCTCCTCCAGAACATTGTCCAGGTGGCCCGGGTCAGGGTAGCCGTGGCCCGTCAAGTTGGAGCCGAATTCCGTCTTGTGGTGCACTTCGTTCCAGATGACCGTGTCCGATTCGCCAGTGGTGCTGGATGTGCCCACGGAGAATATGAGGTGGCGGTCCCACGCCACCAAGAGCAGCCTCAGAACCTGAACAAGTAAGGCTGTCTTACACTTCGCGAATTTTTACGTCACACACATCATTTAACTACTGGACAGGATTCTCTACAGCAGTGATTATTCAAGTGTCCTGCGTGGGCTCCCTCTAGTGGCACCCGAAAATTGGCTGACACGTATTTTATCCTGAGTACAAAACAAACACATTTGATCTTTAACAACAGTTTTGATTTAAAATCTTCACATTCGACATTCATGAATACTTGTACTTTGGCACCCGCAGATTTACGTATCTGTATCCGTTTATCAGTGTTTTTGAGGCTGCAACTTTCACTACACACACATTAGCTGCTTTGATAAAACAGATTACACTAAATAATAATGCAACAACCTTTACTGTAGGTTTAGTTTGGCGTTGTATTAAATAATCAACGACAAGTGTTGGAATTTCATTTGGATACATCACCTACAAACATGACTAGAACCGGGGAGTAGGAATTCCAAGGTGAATATTTTTTCCCCGACAAGGCTGCAAGGTACTCCCTTGGGCCTCGTCAAGGAATTCCTAACAATACCTTTCGTCCTTTGTCGCTGTCCGGGAGGTAGCAGTGTCTCGGGAAGCCACGGGCTGTGAAGGGTTTGCCGGGGTTTGGGTGCTCCAGGCCCTAAAAGAGCAACAGGTTCATGACATCAAGCAAGACAACTAAAAAAAAAACACCACTCGTTGGAATAACATACAGTGGACACCCGCAACAAATGCATTTAGAGGTACGAGAGGCTTTGCAGAATGTGATGGCGGCTCTACCTGAATGCCAGGAGGAATGTTGTAAATGATGCGGATGGTTTTGCAATCGGGGTGTCCGGGGAGCGAGTGGGGGATGACGTGGTACTCCATCTTGCCGGGAGGCTGGTTCCCGGTTTTGACGCCATATATGGTCTTGCACGTGGGGCACTGCAGGCTGCCGTCCTTGTTACCGTTGTTGTACATGGCCACCAGGCACTGCAGGTGGTACTGGTGGCCGCACTGCGCCAGACGACCCACCGACTCGGCGCGAGAAATGCCACCCACGCCGGGGCCTTTGTAGCCCGACGGGCCCGACAGGACTTCCATGCAGATGGTGCAGTCCTGCACGGTTGCAAACATTACACGGCTGTCGCTTGATTTCCTTTTTTGTGTGTGTATGTTTTCAAACACCCCAAATTTTTGGGGACACTTCCAGAATTTGGGGGAAAATAAATTACCTCTTCAGGGGGATTGCGGACTTTCTGAAGGTATCTCTTCACCACCTCCTCGGGGGTCCTACCTATTACAAGAAAGCAGAACCTGGGTCGTTTCGATGAACCTCCTGAGCATGTTTTGTTTGGCTCTTTCTCTTTCCAGACCTTTACGGGCCTGCTTCTTGGTGGTTTTGCGACAACAGTGGCCCAGGCCTGGCACGGGTTTGATGTCGCTCTTGCTGACCGGCGGTGGATGGAGCACCAGCTTGGGAGGACGGGTCAAGCAGACAGGAAGGCCCGCTGCGCTCATGAGGATTCCGGTAATCCCTAAAAAGAGAACATGTAAAAAAAAAACATAATCATAATGCGAATGAAACATTAACTACTACATGTATCTCTAAATTCCAAGAAAAAGTCCAAATGGTACGATCACAAATTTATGCTTTTTTTTAGAGGAAAAAAAAGTTGTAATGTTGTGAGAGTTAAGTCTTGTTTTTCCAAGAAAAAAACTGTCGCGTATGCAAGAACAAAATTCTATTTTATCAGACTAAAAAGTAGAAATCTTAGCAGAATAAAATCCTATTTTTCCAACAGGAAGTTGTAATAAAAACCAGAACCAACCCTCCCTAAAAAAATACACACGTTTAAAAATATTTTTTATATCAAACATATATACTTTTAATCTGACTGTAGATAATTGGAATCCTTTGATAATTATCAATGGCAAAGCATTTTATTCGAAGGCGCCTTTCTTGGCACTCGAAGACAGCGTACGCGATATATTTTGCGAAATAAAATGATAATGAAAAGTGGAAGGATAGAGATCAATTAAAATGACAAAAAACAACAACCATGAACAAGATTGTGCTGAAATGTCTTATTTTGCGCATCCAATCAATGACATCATTGATCCATCGGGAAATTATGACAATAGAAAGGATCACAATTGTGCACAAAAATGCAAAATATCAAAAGCTCTTTATTTATGCAGGGATTTCAAAATTTATGAGACATGTCACAATCATATGAGAATTTTTAATTGGCCCAAAGATAAAATTCTTTATTTTCTTTGATTGGCACACCATGAATGCGCTTTAGGTATGCATTTTTTTTTTAATGATACAATGTTCATCAATATGCTCACCAGCCAGGGCAGGGTGCACAGGGCTGGAGCCATTCAGGTTTTTGACAGGGACAGTTGGCACCCTGCAAGACAAAAAAGCACCCATTGATACTTGACAGTTTAGTGTTAAGGTAGTAAAATCCGATCAGTCTGGTGTGAACAGGTGATGTGTGCACACAGCTGGCTGCAGCATATGTCAAGTTCAACCACACGTCAGCAGGTTAAGGAGCTTTTGCACAGTCATGGACAAGAGGCTGGGATATAAACCACTTTTTAAAAAAAAAAACACAAATTTTAGTGTTATTGCGTCATCACATAAAGGCCTATTAACACAACATTGAGAGAACTGGAAAGCATTGATTGAGAGATTTTAAACGAGGTATGACTCCATGTGGTTTGTCGCCAATTGATTTTACTTATGAACTAGCACAGCGTTGCTATTTCAAAGAACATCATGTGCCATTTTTGTCGGAATTGGAAGCCAATGTGGGTCCAAAGTACAAGTACAGTGAAGTCAAGCACTCGCACCGTTGGCAAAACAACACTGGTCAACAGCAAATTTTAATTTGCTTGCATCTGATTTAAAAAAAAAAAAAAAAAGTTAAAATGTGTTGCCCAGTGTTATTTTCCGCCCTCCAAATTTTCAAATAAAAGAAACACGCAATTTATGTGATACTTACGGCCGGCCACTTTTGATTACGGTCATTTCTGAGAATATTTCGGTAATCCACAGAGGGGGAAAAAAGAGCTCCTGCTCCGCCGGTTGAGTTGAACGGCGACGTGACTTGTCGCACCTCGCCTCGCTCTTTTATAGCGCTAATCCACCTTTTCCCATCTGGCGACTTAACTCAAGTTGTAGGCCATTCAGGCGTCACGTCACGGATTAGCCGTGAAGCCATATTTAGCCAGTCATTGGGCCACCGTCTTTACTTCCGCAAACTTTCACACAATTTGGCTAATCCTAAATTGGATTCTATAATTTTTTTTATCCTGGGGGAAAACAAAATCAGTTTACACCAAGAATAGTCCTTTTTTTATATAAAGAATTTCATTAATATAATTTAATTTGTTTACAATGTCGCTGCCTCCTTTTTTATGCAAATTTTAGCACATTTCTGGGAAAGGGCAAACGGAACTTCATTTCCAGCAACATATCATTCACTGTTGTGGCAATTTCAGATCAGTAATGCAAACCGCCCACATTTTTACGCAAATGTCTTTCTCAAGCCACAAAGTAAAATTAGTCTCAAGGTACAGATGAATATCATATGTTCGGTTAGCGCGTACGTCCTGTTCTGGTCAATCTGATGACACTCTCTCTGTGGTTGTATTGGTTTGTTTACCAACAAGCAAGGAGAGGCATGTCAGCCAGTCACGTTTTTTGGATTGCGGCTAATCTCCCGGCATTAGGCCAGCCTCCAGCTGGGACTGGGAAACCATTTGTTCATGTACAACTCATAAATTAAGTAATTATCCAATTATAAAGAGTATAAAGGTCCTGATATGAAGAAGTCTTCATTGACCAAACCGGATTCAGAAGGGGACCCGCCTCTCTGGAGATGTCTTACTGCAGTGGTTTCATCTGGTTAAATGGACTTTTATATCATTCTAACAGTGTACAGTACAATATTGTGTGAAATGTTGCCCTCTCGATATCCATTGTAGCGTGGCCCCTCTGCAACCCCTTCTCAAGGTTTGTTATTTTTCTCCAGGTGGGGTTTCTCAAATTTTTCTTTGCCCTCCTGGATGTCAAGGTCAGGGGATGTCGTTAATATTTGCCAACACTGGGCATATGAGGCCCTTTGAGACTGTGATTAAGGGATTGGCGGGGGGGGGCTGGGGGGCATAGATAGTGACTATCCAAGCCCTTATTTTTTCCTTACATTCTCACATGTCGAGGTCAGGTCAATATGGAATCTCAGCATGCACTGTCATGACTATCCTAGCCACTATTTTTTCTTACATTTATGGTTATTATTATTTTTTTTTTTTTTAATTGCGGCATATCAAGCAATGCCAGGACAATTCCACTTTAATGCAAGCTTCCCCTCTCCCCATCTCGCTGATAAACCTATTTTCTTCGCACACCACATTTTGTTGAGAAAAATGAACCAAAACACAGATTTGAACTGTTTCCTCAGTTTCCAGTCCTCAAAAAGGGCAACTAATTTCTATCGTCTTGTTCATTCTTCATCATACAGCTTAATACTGCAAAGTCAATTGATTTTTAAAAAATGGAGGTTAAACTAGCACATTCACACATCTAGATTTACACATGTATCCCCTCCCAACCCCCAAGTAATCCTGCTAACTAACAAACCAAGTGACCAACATACTGTAAGATAATTGAAACAACACCTCTTGCCCTCTGCACTCTTGGCCGAGATAATCAGTGAGCGACAGGTGGAGCTCTCTGTGGATTTTGATCAGAAGGGCTCTTGATTTTCTGACGTGGGTGCCAGCAGGCTCGCCCATCTGCTGGAGAGACTCTCACCTTGCAACGTGACTGACCGACTGTATGTCCAATGACCACAAATGTGCAAACGCGCCGGCCGCGTCTACTCACCCCGAGGCGATAAGGGCCCGCGACTGAGCCATGGCGAGACGCTGCAGCGCCGGTCGGCTCAGCCCTGCCAGGCCAGACCGCGGCGGCAGAGACGTAGTCAGAGGCCCCAGGACGCGGGCAGATGGTGAAGGTGCGCGGGCCAATGCGAGAGGCGGGCCCGTAGTGGGCACCGCCGGAGCCGAAGAGGGCGACGAGGGGGAAGGGTGAGGCGGGGTGTTGAGCGGGGGCGGCGGCGGTGGGGGAAGCGATGGGGGCGGCGGGCGACCGGAGTTGAGGGACAGGGTAGTGGTGGCTGCGCTGAGAAGGGAGAGCGAGTGCGCGTAGCCTGTGCCTGAACCCGCACTTCCCAAACCAAGACCGCTGCCCGTTATGCTGGGACCGCCCGTCGCCCCGACTATGGACGTCCTGTGAGGGGACAGCGACCGTGAGATGGAGGGCAACCGTGGGAGGGTGAGTGACAAGGCCCCACCAGGGATCAGGTGGCTGTTAAGTTTGGGACTGGGCGGTTTAGTCTGCGGCGGTCTCCGACCCAGCGTTTGAGCACTCGACACAGTGCCCACCTTGACACTGAGCAACAGCATGCACTGCTGGCAGGCACAGGGTGCTCCCAAAGAGGTGATCGCCGAAGCGGGTAGCGCCCCGCTGGGGTACGCACTCCCATTGCCTCTCCCCGTGCCGCCCATCCTGATTGCCGCACCCACTGCAGGAACATCTGCGGATCCTCCGGGGGGAGCCACGGACGTGGGCGCCCACGCGTGGTGGGATTTAGGCAGGGGCCCCGACACCAAGGGGTACGCCAAATCAGCGCGTCGCTGGATGCGGCGGCAGCGTTGGGTCTGCCCGTTGATTTGGGTCATGCTTCCGAAGTCAATGAGGTAACAGAAACCCAGCGGCGCCAGGTCCAGCCAGGGCTGCTGGCGGTCGCGCGCCGCCTGGATGGCGATGCCCACCTCCGTGTCGTACGCCGTCCAACTGCCCACGTCGTTCTCCCACTCCCACAGCCAACCTTGGCCGGGCGCTGATGTGGGCTCGTAAAAGCTGCGGCGGACCGCTCGAAGGGTGCCTGGTGAAGGGCAAAAGTGGCCGCATCAATAACCAAACGAGGGATGTTCTACTTTTTTTCAAACCGATTCCAGGACACGTATTCACTCTTTGAGTACCATTACGTCTCCTACTTTTGATATCTAAAATTTCATTTAACACAATGACAAAACTCTTCTTTCTGACACAGATGATGATTTGCCGAAGCGGGCAACTGCCCCAGTATAGCGCTAACTAAAGACGAGGACTAAGGACAAGGCCAGTATCATGGTTGATACCTTGCATTGGCACTTGTTCATTCCTAAACTAAACCCATAGAATTCCCATCCTAATTCCGCCATGGTGCCATTTAAATGCAGTAGCAATACATAGGCTTGCAAAGGGGATGAGAATTTCAAATAAATTTTGATGGAAAGTCAAGCTGGAGAATTTCGGAATCGTATCCCATTCAAGGATAAATATCAGCATTTTATTTGTCATAAGCAGACATTCATGCAAAATATTACAATCAAAAAGCGTGCCATTACAAATTAAAAGGGATAAGTTGGCCTCCATGAAATAAGAAGAAATGTATGTTGGATATTACCAAGTTAATTTCGCCGCAGCATGGTTGTTTACATACACAGAATTTAAAAAATGAAATACTGCAGTTCCTACAAACAGTGTAAAAGCGGCTAATTTGTCAACGTCATTCATTAAAAAAGAAGAACTGTACATTGCAAAATGGGTGACTTTGCACCCCCAATTTCATCTTGGTGCTCTTGATGCAGAAGACAGAGAAAAGGTGGTAAATTAGGATGTTTTCAATGTCAACAAACGAAACTTGTGTCACAAATTGCCGGGTTGACTACCCATCTCCAAACCGTGTCACCGTTTACACAAAATGCAGTCTGGAAAAATGCTACTTGAGGCAGTAGAACTGTCAATCTGTCATCATCATTATGAGAAAAACACAGCACGTTACTAGTATCGCAAGGCACCACTATACTACCTCTGCAGGTGGAAAATGTGAGGCTTGACTTCTCCGCTCCACCATTCGGCTTTACACAGAACACGGAAAAGCGCCGGCTTTTATTGAAAAGGGCTCGAATTACGCCCATTTTGCATATTTCACCGAATCAACTTGTTCCTCTTCCTATTGATGCGTTTTGATGCTCTATTATTCCCTGGGCGTGTTGGCTTTGACGCCCACCACGTCCCATTACTTTCGGACTAGTTGCACAAGCACAAGAGAAAAAAAACAAGACGTCATTTTGCGCCACAGCAAAGATAAAAACAAAAAAACAAAAGATGACTCCGGAGCGGCCCGCTCACCCACCCGTGTCCTGACGGAACTGGTGCATGGACTGCAGATCGATGATGTAGGGCGAGAGACGCGAGTCCACCTGGCCGAGGACCACGCTAGCGCAGCGCGGCTCGCTCCGGATGACCGCCTCGATGTGGTGACATACCGCCGGGCTGTAGGGCCGCCAGCGGCCGTGCTCGTTCAGCCATTCCCAGACGACCACGGCGGACGCGAGTAACATCCTACTCGGCGTCGTCCCGACAAATCAACGCGGCGACGGCAACACCAACATCGCGACTACACGCAGACCTCCATCTTGTTGTGTTGACGTTATGCGTGTGCGTTATTAGCAACATGTTCGGCAAAGATGCGAATCGTACCTGCCGTGTTTGTAGTTCCGAGTGTGCAGCAGCAACTGGTCGACCCCCCCCCCCCCCCCCTCCCCCCCCCCCCCACGCAACAAAACCCCCT